TCCAAATGTGGCCCCCAGTTTATATACTCTACTTGGTTCTTCTTTTGAAAGCATTCGTCGTCCACATAAATGATTAACTTATGCACAAAAATATGATCGATAAATTTAATGCAACAAAATTGGATACAAAATATATTCTAGATAATAACGATATTCAATCGTTAATCCTCGAAAATTGGTTCACCAAGTGGTGACATTCAACTCAAACGATGTATATGTGTTAGGATTGCAAACATATCATCGTATTTGACACAATTCAAGTTTTAACATTTTTCTATTCTATTGTTTTCTTGGAATTCTCTTCCAAGCAGCTTTGGATATATTCGGCAACTTCATGTACATACAGACGAAAAAGAAGTTCCCTCGGTCTATTATCAACGAATTTCACGCCTCGTCGATCGTCTCTGCGATTTCGCTGCCGTATGCCTGTCGACGAAGAAGGCATTTCGGTTTCCTTTTAACGATCCGATGCACCTGAAGCCGCTTAGTTCACTTCCTTTATCAGATTTCCTAACTCACTTCTTTCCGCTGATAAAGCTAAGCCGAGTTTGATTTCTGTTGCGAACAAGATCTTATTCGCAATCTCTTGCCGGATATTTTCAACAATTAAATCTAAATCTTTCGTTATATTATTTTACCTGTATTATACTAGGTACGACCGAATGATGTATCATAAGAGAAATATAATACGGGTATATTGAAGAAGACATACGGATATCAAAAGAGAATTATCTCATCATAGAAGTTAATTGTATATACAAACGTGCAGACGGATGAAAAAAGGCACTTGAGTACGCACTTCCGTCTGTAAGATCATTGGAAAATGAAGTAAGAATTCAAATGCACATTTTCATAAAGGAGAGACTGTTATAATGATAGCTATACTAAAAAAGTTTTACTTGTGAAAGTATTTCAGAATATCATTCAGCGTGATTCAATACTCTGGATTTGCAAGTAAAAGGACATGCAAAGATAAAAATAAGCTTGTTTTAAAATAATGTTTTTTAATACTGCAATAAAAAAGAAAATGTTTAAAAGCAAGCTTTTTTATACAAGTGCTATTATTGAAAAACACTTATTGCAAATGTGCAAATCGGCGATTGTCAAAAGATCGAAAATTGTATTTTAAAGGTTTTCCCCTAATTGAGATGTCGAATTCCAAACATCAAATCAATGAAGAGAGAACTTAGCACAGTTTCAATATTCTGCAAAATTTTCTGACTTTGAGCTATGCTAGAACATTTTACGTAAGTGCTGACTCCGCTGTTAATTTCCCAGACAGCTGACTGCATCGACTGATATGATCGATGAGCACGATGAAAGAAAGCTCATGAATACAGCGTAGAGAATTATCGAGAAACGATTTTAATACTGTAATAACATTATTCTATCACAAATTTCATCAACCAATACTGATTGAACCATTCCAATGGTATAACCACGTATTCGATATATCGTCTTTTTTATATCGTAATAATATTCTGTAATTGTTTTGATAATATTACGCCATTGCTTTATTTTAATTTTTAAACAAAACGTACCCATAGCTGCATTTACGCAAAACATATTTATCAATTTTTATTTCCTACTGTTAATAATTTTTCTAAAATTTCGCGTGGTTCACGATATTACGATTCCAAATTCAATTTTTAATTCGTGTAAACATGGAGATAAACATTTTAGGCACTTTTTCTTCCTATCAGATAAAAACGACTAACTGCGTCTTTGCTCAAGCAAGTACTGGGATAAGTTTTCAGTTTGTTCCTACAACTTTATAGATTTCATAAGTAGATTACATACCCTATTTGTGATTCTGCGATCAATAGACAGAATAAACATGACCTGGATGAGACCGGAAAATTTCAGACTATAATCCAACTGTTGAAGACAATAAAAGTAACGTTCTGTAACATTCTATTTTTTCCTTGGTATAAATTTATCGAATTCACTGGAGCACGCGGATAGAATGTGCGATAATTTATTGACATCCGCTGTTAGTCTGATATAAAAACGTTATTGCACATATAATTGGTTTCGTGTTCAGTGATTTTATTTATAAATAAAATGATGTACGTTCAATATTTACATGTACTTTAGCTCATACTGTCGGAAGTTTAAAAAAAAGGATTAAAATGCTGATAGCAATATTAACTTCAATCGTGACCTATGTTTCTTTAATGAAAACATTTTTTACGGTACAAATCCAATTTTTTAATTGCATATAAATTTAAGGTATTAATTTTCATGTCATAATAAAAATGCGTAATAAAAGTTTTTCAAAACTTTTATCTCAACTGTGCTTATGTCAATTATATTAAAATGCTCATTGTTAAATGTATTGCTTTATTTGAAAATAAAGGCACTTTTTGTTATATAGAAAAATTTAATTTAGTATTATATGAACTAATTTGTATGTACAAATATTATAAATTTCGGAATTTTTTGCAAAAAATATAACTTTAAAGATGTTCAAATACAATAATAAGACTGCGACACAATTAGAAGAGTAGCAAGATAAGAAATTTACACATGTTCAAATTATTTATAAAATACTTTTTTTGATTATTATTCGTTTATAGAAAACAAATAAACAAATGATCGATTTCAATAGTCCGAACAAGCGTAAATATAAATTTTTTAAATATATGCGCATGTACATGTGAATATTAAATTTTAAGACTATATATATAGTAATCCATATACGTGGCGCGTAATAGAAATCGTTTTTCGGTAATTTGTATGCGGAATTTGTCCGCAAACACGTTTGCCATGAGCGGGTTGCCGATTTGCATAGAACGGATATTCGCAAGCGTTCGTGCTTGGGGGGCGCCGAATTTGCAAATCTCTCCACGCGCCGAACTTCAGATCCAAAAGGAGCTTTTTGCTCTGTCAATTCCACAGGTTACCTCTCGCGAGTTTCGCAGAGTTTCATAGTCGGTGTCGTTTGACGATCGATACTGAGGGGAGACAAATGGGACGTAGATGAACACGCGAGCCTGCGTGTGGAGAAAAGCTCTGCTGCTCTCTGCTCGCGGGAACGCAAAGAAATCAGTATTCGTGAAGGCATCCGCGACGGAATTTCGGTATAGTGTATAGGAGACACATTTACCTCTCCGTTTGTTTCTGAATTCTTTAAATCGTCGAGACGTCAACGTGCTCGCGTAGAATTCGAGCGATGATTGATCACTGATCAGATCAATGATCAGATTGTCTCGGAGATATCTGAAGAATGCGAATCAAGTTCGGACTTTACGCTTGTATCGCGTAACATCGCGAATATTGACAAGAACTTTAATCAGCAGAGCTGTCGCTTTTCTTCTAGATATTAATTGATAATTTCACTTTTATTCACTGAAAGAGAGGTAGCTTTACGGCTGTTTCGGTAGATCCGCATTAGAGTCATTATCATTGTAGATCTGCGTCAATCGTTACGGCAAGCAGCAGCGACAAGAGGGTAAATACCAAAGTTCAAGGAGAGATCGCATTGGAGCAAGAAAGGGTCTTAGTGCCTCCCCACGAGAAAAGCTGTAGGGCAGGTGAATATAAGGGCGAATAGGAACAAATGACGGATAGAGAAAGCCGTAGGCATGTCTATCGAGTCAATGCATGGCAACCACTAGAAGAACAATGAGTCCTAAATACCGCCGACTCCGCCCCGACGTTGATCGCTAAGTCGTCCGCACTCCTTTCCCCTTTCCCCTGACATTTTCCGCTGACAATTCCGCAGTTTGCGGCACGATTGAGGCAGATCATTTTTTCAACGTTACGATAGCGATTTGAGAATATCGATACGCCGCGCCGTGCACAGAAAATTATCATTCCACATATACTTAGTACACGTATATTTTTAAAGAATTTCGAACATCCTTCTAGAATAGATCCAGGATGTTGCATCGGTTGAAAGAGCGACAAGCTTTAGAGTCAAGAGTTATTTTGCCACAAATTGTGGTAACATCAACGTTTATTCAAATAGAAGCACCGACGTTTCACTTTTACACTGAATTTTACCATATGCGGTTTCTCTTTGCCCGTCAAAATACGTGGTCGTACTTTCTGAGTGAGCAAATACGCGGATTTCTCGTTATTTTGTAAGACTTATAGATATGCTTTACAATTCTTTGAGAATGTTGATTAACGCGATGTCTGTTTGAGACTTGGTTGCAAATTTATTTTAATTCAAAGAATTCGAAAGTGCCTGTCTTCTTCACTTTTCGGTGTGCTTGAGCACCGAAAGTTATCGATAAGAAAGCCTCCTCCTCTTGTTGCCGTATAATTAAACACGACGTACGATGACGAAATATCCCCTTTTGTTTCATTAGCTACGTTAGTCACGGAATGGAATCGGGAACAGAGCGATGGAAGATAAAGAAGTGAATCGACCAATATTGCCCCAGTAACATACTTGTTCTCACTATTACAATGATTTTATCTTGCTGTACCCCCTCCTCCCTCTCTCTCTCTCTCTCTCTCTCTCTCTCTCTCTCTCTCTCTGTATGTATATTTCTAATTAAAACTTTTTTAACAAGAGTTTTAACCAAGTAAATTGTACTTGGAAGCATAATTATTATAAACATAATAAAAGATTTGAACTAAATCCTTTGTAAAATATTATGTTATAATTTTCCTATATATAAAAATCCTTATAGAAATCCTAGTTTTGTAACAATCAATTCAAAATTTTATCAAAATTGTCACTCCAAAATTTTTTTCTATGTATAAGTATAACCCAATGATGTTATAATCATTATAATAATCAACAGTAATAACATAACTTTAGTCATTATTTTTAGTTCTAGAATTTATCTCATTATTTTTGTACAACTTTGCATGATGGAGTAGTGTACCTTGTGTAAGAAAATAAATTTTTCAACCGTAGAGAAATGTTAAAGTTAACCCATGATATCAAAAAAATTTTACCTACAATTTATGAAACGTACATAAAAATTGTGATATTCTGCAGGTGAGCAGAAACGCGTTCAACGCGACGTATTCCGTCATACCTTGTTTCGTGGATGTGGCAGTCGGCATCGATGTGAGCTGCGACGGGATGCCGGCTCTATCAGTGGCAGTGATAGCCCACGGCCGAGTCTCGTGCCTCTTCGTGGACCTCGTCGTCGTCGTCGTCGTCTTCAGGACGAGCCACTAGCCTGGTAGTCATCTCCACCACAACGACGGCCAGTCGGTCATCGTCCAACGACCAAGATACGTACGCTCTAAAGACACAAAAAAATTTTCCGTTAAAACATATAAATGCAGTAACAGTGACTAAAAAATGTATGTTAATTTACATCCTGACAGACTGCTTAACATATAAACATGAGAATTATATGGTTATATTTAGAATTTATGTCAACTCTATTTTCTTCAGAAACTGTACGAAAGCTCATACAAGTGAGTCGTTACTGTAATATTTACATATAAAGACGCGGCTACGATTATCTGTGGCTATAACTTCCTTCTTATGGACAACTTGATTGAGCTATTGCCTATCTACAGTAGAGAATTGGTCGACCGATGTGAAAACTTACAGATGTTACATTGACTGTTTAAAAAACTGCTTTATAGAGCAATTTCATGCATTTAAAAGTTTATTCAAGCCTTATTGCATTTTTTCATAATAAAAAACATTACTTTTACAAAGTTGGATAATTTATTTATATGTATATGCAAAAAATTTTTATCGCTGCAAACTTAAGTCCCTACGGCGAATACAAAGCACGTTCTTTTAATTAAGAATGGATTACCCAAGATTAACCTATTTAATAAATATAAAATAGATAACAATTTATTTTATTGTGCTAAACTTAAAGTTCAACGCCTACAATAGCGAAAATCATCGATGGTCGTGAAAAGGTTTTTACCGCGTCGGGGAACAAAAGTTTGTTTTACTAGTGCTTGAAGCGTTAAACCTTAATGACAATTTCTTGTTCGCTTATGAAGTTAGAATCAACTTTTTTACTATCCACAGAACTAAAATGGCCGTTCACAATATGCTCGACTCGCATCTGTTTAGTAAAACATTTTAAGCATTTTTTTTATAAAGAAAAAGAAAAGCGGATATTTATAATAAATGTAATATTTGTTGCAAATTTATGTACATATTTTATGTTAAATATTGTTGCTTAGAAAATAATATTACGTAATTAATTATATTTTTAAAGATTCTAATATCAAAAATTGCGTTAAAACTTTATTATTTAAATATCAAATAAGATAACTTTGGTTTTAAAAGTATAGTGAAAATAATACATGCACTTTCTTTATTTTACATTAAATACAATGTTTTTCATTAATTTCAGGATTAATACCTAATATCTTTTGTAATAATTTTTTGAAATAATTGTGAAATTAAACAATATGAAACGTACGTTGCCTTCTTTTATTATATGCGATTACTGCTCATGTGTCAACGTGATTGTCGTTATCTCTCCTTTTTTAATTCAAAACATTAACGTGGAATACATGTCTAAAGATTTAATCCTACGGAATAGATGTGATGGCTCAGTAACCTCGAATGGTGGCACGGCAGAAATGGCATCGAAAATTTTCGTGTCGCGGCAGAAATTGCATTCCTCCCTCCTCTCATCTGTGATCTTCTACGGCCATTTCAATTTCGCGGGTATTCCCTGTTCCGGGAGATACGATCGATTGACGCGTCATAGAAAAATAGCAGCATGCGATTCACAAATTTTCCCGTTTGTGCCTATGCACGTTCCACATTTTATGACTGCGCTATTCAAGGCGTATCTACATCGAACTAAAATTCGTCCGTAATTTTAGAGACAAAAATGAGAAAACAGCCTACCTCTACGATGTAGGTATTAAAGATTAGAACTAAAATCTTGGATACAAAAAAGATTTAGATGATATTTCATCTCTTGGTATTATATAACGATGATTTCCACCGAAAGCTCAATTCTTAATTATATGTAATGTAATTATATATCTGTAATAAAGATTAGCTTATATAAATAATCTTTATATGTTTTACATGTTATGCATTAAAAAGCAACTATTATTTATATTATTTTTTCCTTCGTGCGTAGTCTCTTCTTGAGAGATTTTTTACTCTCCGTATTATTATCACTATAACGATCGCTATAGAGTAAAACGTGCAACTACATGTCATGCATTTGCATAACAGAGTTTAATAGAACTGACGCATCGTGCTCCGTAGATATTACAAATTGATATATACTTGATGGATGTGTATCTATGTTCACAGTGACAAGATCATGGTGTATGACAGTAATAGAGGTATAACGCGCTGTCACAAATATTAAAACTCGTCTATGACTTCATAAATCGGTGATTAAGTGTACAGGTGACAGTATAAAGCCTGAATTCCATCGTGTCAACTGACATGAAAAACTTTCCAAGTAGAGATGATTGACATTCAATCATGTATCAACGATATTTTTAAAAAGCATTTTCCGACAGTGACTTTTTCAAAGTCCCGCTTGCGCTTGAAGATCGTGAGATTAGAAAGGGAAAAAAGTAAAGAGTATAAATTATTCAATCAATTTTAAGAAAACTGAGAAAAGAAGCAAATGACTGCAAAGTTTTTCTTTCACAAAAACTTTGTAATCATTTATGCTTAATTTTGTTTCTATTTGTCAATATTAATTATTTTGAGCATTATTTAAATATTAAATACATTTCTGTCCTGCTCAATTAAACTTAAATGAAAAATTAGATTTGGCGATCTGTTTGTCGATGCTTGATTGTTTAAAATCTTTTAATTTTTGATGCTGATTCTGTAATTGATGCTTTCTAATTTATTCTCTAGTAGCTATGATCAAAAAACATAACTCTTCTATCGTATATTTGCGCGTATATATATATATATATATATATATGTATTTTTTACCTTGTTTTCTATTTATTTATTTTTTATTCGTTATTTGGTCAATTTGTTGAAACTGGCGTGCACAATTTCTCTCTCTCTCTCTCTCTCTCTCTCTCTCATATTGATCTTCTCGCCAATTACTCAGTTACTAGTAAGCGAGATGTCATTATGTCAGATATGTTTCACGCAATATGTCTCACGCATTTCGTTAGTAAGATCTAGACGGAGACATAGATGTTCGGAACAGCGTGAAAGCTATCGAGAGGACGGTTCTATCAAATAATTTATCGTTTGTCCTTCCATAGAATAGAGTAAGTCACCATATTGTTTCCTCTGATACAATAAAATGATTAACGTTATTAGATAGAATTATGTCATCCACGAAAAACCTAATTAAAAATCTGAATGTTAATTATCAGTGCATCAAAAAGTCATTAGAATTCTCAAATATTTGTGTTGCATTAAAAAAAATTTCTCTTCTTTAATGTGACAGAATTTAAATAAGTTGATGATAAATATATGTCAATTATCTCGATATAATAAAATTAAAAGTAGACAAATTAACTATAATATTCAGTGTAGATAGATTTATATTAAATCTTTCTAATCAATAAATTCTTCGATTCCGCAATAAATATTCCAATAATCTGTTTCCAATAAGTTTGAAAGTAGACCGATATCGACGTACTTTTAAATAGGCGTAAAAAGATTTATTTAGCAAAAAATGTATAGTATTATAGAAATAATTTTTTTTACAAGATAAAGAAATTAGTTCCACGAATTTGCCATTAAAAGCAAATGAAGGAAATTTTGCCGGTAATACATTAGAGAGAAGACCATTGTTTGTTATCTTTCAGTTATTTTTAGTGAGAGTTAAAAACAGTTATTTTAAAACACCATCGGGACGACTAGATAGCTCGGAATATGAGCTTATTGCACGGTTATTGGATAAAAATGAGTCGGAGCTCGATCGAAAGAAAAATCCAGGGAACTGCTGTAAGATAGAACTACGCGGCGTACCGTAGTATTTATTGTGAAAGGGGGTTTTGTGTGTGTGTGTGTATGTGTCCGGAAAAATTGAGATCTCTAAAAATAGATCTCATTTAGCCGTTATTGCGAATATTAGATGTCTGTATTTCTTCTCTCATTTTGTGATAACATTACTTTACTAAATAAAGCTTTTGCCATAATAAAAGTAAAATTAAAAAAGAAATTAGATAATTCTGTCCATTTTACTTGAAAGTAAATTTATTAATACCAAATTTATTAACAAAGAATATTCTACGTATAATAAAAATCATATACTAGACAAATTATTTGCGTCTATTGCGTATAGCAAAGTGAATTTCAAATAAGATTCATTGTGAAATAATTATAGGAGATATTTTGTGGATAGTATTTTCTTTATCAGTTTTTCAAACTAAGACGCACCTTTTGCTATTCCTCACGATGCTTTGCCGAATTGTTTCATCCTTCGACGGTACCGTTTGATACCGATTCGCACAGTTAATCTTGCACGATCCGGTACGATGTTCGCAAGCACCTGGCACGAAACGTAGACAATTGAAGCGATTTGAAGAGACACTCAGCCGCAGGTACCACCGCACGAAAGGTACCTTTGAGTTCCCCGTATTTTTTCCTCTTCCACACAATCGCACACACACGCACACACCAGCCAGCCTCGTCCTTCAGGAAACGGTACCGTGCCAGGGGCACAAGGTTGTACCGCCCACGGTACCGGATCTTTTCGAGGCTCTACTGCCGCAAATTTCTTTCCACGTTGTTGGGGTCACGTACATGCCACAAAAAGTATCAGGGAACGACGTCGATTCGAAATAATCTCCTGCGACGACATTAGCAAGAGGCGCGAGTCTTCCTTCGAATCGTGTCTCGAGGACATTGATATTCCGCGAGTGACGTTAACGATACGCGGTAATTTTCTTCGCCGAAGTCATGTCGCGAACGTAATCTCTCGTAATACGTAACTTAAACAGAAGTACGACGACGTTTCGTCCGGCACCATCGGACGCATGCCGAGATTCCCCTTGGAGACGGTTAAGTCAACAGATTCAAGCCTCGCGATCGACCGACTCCACTAGCCTCGCGGGTATCCATATCCCCGCAATCTCTCGTCATTCCACCCTTCTCTTCGATCTCTCTTCGACCTCGGGACGTTCTTCTTCTAGTTTTCCGTCGAGTTCGCCGGACCCGCGGTATCAGAATCATGCTTCCATCCTCCGCGTGTTTGTCGGTTTATTATTTCGTTTATTATTTCCCTTCCTCGGACACTCGGCAAGCGACTTGAACGAGTCCTAAGATCAGCTCTTGGACACATCTTTTGTCGGAGACAAATGTATGCCTCTCATGCTTTGGATGTCAGTTACGAGTCTTTGAATGTTTGCAGCGAAATATCAATACTCTTGACAACGGAACGAGCGAAACTGGAAGAGAGGTCGTAGCTGAAAGCAGAATCTTCCCGTTTGATCGCGCTCAATACTTGTCACATCGAAATCACTTTGTGGTTCACGCCGTCTTGCAACACTTTATTTTCACTCAATATTTTTATTTTATGTCATCACCTTTGTTTCCGAAAACAAGAGAAAATATCAGGATAAAACGTTAGAACTGCTTTTTTTTTTAATTAAAAGATTCAGCTTTACTTATTTAATCAACATTTTATCATTGAAAAAATAAATTGGAGGAACAATAAAGGAAAAGCAATGTAATATGTTGAAAAAAAGAAGTGAGAAAAATAAAGAGAAAAAATAAGTACGTGCCGATTGATTTCACCATTGCAGCATTGCAAAGAATGTTTTATTATTCGATGGCATTAAAAAGTACTCTGAGGAATCTCTTCGCCCATTACAGCTCGGAAATTTCTAATAAATTTCCTAGTTTTCTTTTCTTTATTGCAGCAACTCTGCAACGAGCTACGGTCCATGAATTACTGATGCGTTTGCATATCGACGTGCGCGAAACGCTAAAACGAAACGTGTATTTTTGGAAGCGCCTGCTATGCAGGGCAATGCTTGCAGAACTCTACACAATGGAATACTTAAAGTATGAGTCACCGCATAGCACTTCGCAAAAATACTACAACTAACCAAATTTCTGTTATACTTCCCGTGATGTACCTTTATTCTTGCGTTTCCATTTCGCGAAATATATCTAACGTTTAGCTCAGTTGTCTATAAGATAAACATCCCTCACGTAAATAATTAACGGATCAATAATTGTATTGAATTCTCTTACGTAATATGATTCTATATAATACACACATTCCTCGAGTTAAGAATAGAATTACGTGTAGATTGTCTTCCTCTATATTAGACTCGTAATAACAGCGAAATTAGAGTCAATTCGGTTTTCATCAACAGAAATATGCGGATATTCTTCTACGATGTGAAAATTTGCATTTCGACGTCGAATCTGAAAAGCTGGTGAAAGCAACTGTCACGGTTTCTGCATAACGAACAGCTGGCGAAACCTTTCTATCAGTTCCGGCTGTCGGGTTGAAAATAAACGTATATCCGCATTTCGACGGATGAAAAAGGGGGTGTCCGAAAGAGAAAAAGATCGACGGATATGTAAAGATGTCAATGCCTGATTGAATTATTTTACAATACAGCTATTTGTACGGATTATCACGACGTGTGTATCCTACGGTTATGCACTCACGCGTACATGTATTGATATGAATTACTACAGTAAAACGATGAAGTGCGCATATTAATCTCGAATAATTTTTTCACTGAAATTCTCACGTATATAATCCCTCATTTCTACAACATCCTATAAAAACGTAAAAAAACTTAGATTTTTTAAGTATTCTTAATATTTCGTAATATGGCGTTTAATAAAGGGAAGAAAGTGGGGACATTATTCATAATTTGCATTCTTTTTTCTCTTGTTTTCTATCTTAATGTTAGTGATTTATATTCATTTAAGTTAACCCGTAATTCTTTTCTCCTCTTCGCCCTTTCTGTATTTTCCTCGATCATTACTGTTCGCAAATTTCAGTGATCAACGTTCAGTCGTGGATTCTTTCTTCTAGAGATCACGCGAAGAAATAAGTAGATCTTCTATTTTCTCGCTCTATATTCTTCGCCGCATCGCTTCCCTTTCGGTGATATCCGCAATCTTCGCGACTCTTATAAGAAGACCCATATAGCCTTTTTCCCATTAAAAAAAAAAATTTTTTACGAAACAAGATTATTAACGTTGCACTTTATAAGATATTCGCACCTCGCTCTATATCTCTGTGGAAAAAACACAAATATGCCATTTTCACTTAAGATTCTCCGATTTTATAGATATTGCCGATGTTCTCTTTCTCTCTTTCTCTCTCTCTCTTTCGATTTCTCTCCCTCTCTCTCTCCTTCTTCTTCTTCTTCCTTCTCCCCCCTCTGCCCTATCTTTGCTTCCTTCGTCTTCTTTTAAATATCACCTCCCTTTCCACCCTACTTTTTCGCGCGTGTGTCTCTTTTACTTTCAAATATTACTCCCGCTCTAAATCTTACTCACTAGCCTCTTCTTGCAACCCTTCGTTATCACTTTCGATCTGTGCTTTTCGTTTCGTTATCTCAATATCATTCGCACGCATAAAAAACAGCACGGAAAAGCCCCTCAGGTTGCCCGGCGTCTCCTCTTGCTCCCTTTCTTCCGCGATTATCACCACCCCCGTCGTCGCGTCACCCAACACGGGTTTTATTTGCCGGCGGACGTGCCTGCCGTCCTCGCGGCGACGAGCGAGGCCGAGATGGAGACAGACAGCAGAGGAGAGGTGAGGCGAAGCAAGGCGGGGCGAGGTGAGGCGAGAAAGAAACGCGCACACGCGTACCTACACTTACATATTCGACAAGAACAGAGAGGGAGAGAAAGAGAGATATAATATATATGTATGTGTACGTTGTACGTGTGTGTGTGTATGTGTGTATATACAAGAGAGAGATTGAGAGAAGAGAGAGATTCACTCGCAGGAAATGTGCTTACGGCACGAAGTCGCGCGCTCCACTGAGCTATCAGCGGGCATGCGTCCGCGTAGTAACCGGTAGCCCGCTACGAGCTTTCCCTGTCGTTTTTCCAACCCCCGCGCGTCTTCACGGCGCGGCCACCTCTTCCGAGAACGGCCGCCACCACCGCCACCACCGTCACCGTCACCATCGCCACCACCTCCACCAGCAGCCAGCAGCACCACCACCGCCGGCGCCGATCGCCCCCGCGCGCGGCGCGCTTCGAACCCGTTCTCTCGCGCCCGCCGGAGCGTGCGCACGCGTTCACCTGCGTGCGGGATGCAACAGATGCACCGGACACAAATCCCCGTGACCCGGGGTGCGGTGCATGTATGCACAGTTACGGAACAGTCGCGCACGTACAGACCCATTACACAATCGAACGTAACGAAGAATAGAACAAAAAAAAAGGATAAAAGAGAAACGGGGGACATATATCGATTTATCGTGTTGGGTTATCTTTAGAAGATAGCGAACCGTTAGAAAATCGCTCCCTCGTCTCGTTCGTATTGTTGTGTGTTAGAATAACTTTGTTTCTGTCTTGGGGGATAACAACTCTCGTAACAGCTAGCGCAGCTAAACGTAGACAACCATTATGGTTTATCTTTCACATGCAGAAGTCTTTAATAATATTTGAAATTATTACGATATATATGTTCAAAAGTACGATATAAATTAAAATTCATTAGAGTGCATTGATTTCTCGTGTACTTTAGACAAAGCATAATTATACAATTTATTGTATATATAATGTAAATACTAAATAATATTGCAACACAAGCGTCATTATTTATTAAATATAACTTGTTCATCAATAACGATTTTGTTACCGAAAATCGTTATTGATGACCAGATGTTTCATAAATAATAAGGCCTTTGTCATAGTAACGTATTACTTATTGCAACAAATTGTATATAATTGCGTATTATAAATAAATAAATCATTATACATGGAATGCGTCAATTTCATTATTTTTTCATTACCTCTTTAGATATAAACCTAAACAGTAAAAAAACAAATTACAAAAGAAAGAACTTTATATCATATTATTATACATTATATCTATGCATATATGTATTTTCCGATCGTATACACTGAACAATTTCTCATTGACACACATCTTGTTAACCTTTTTGCTCTTTGGAAAATCGATGATGTGAGATGCAACAGTTGCGACGTCGTAATGTAGATGCATTGATTATAAGGTCATAATATACTGATGTAATCTACCTATAAATGGTTATAGTAAAGAAACAACACATAATACATGATGCATAATACAACCCTCTCTTAAAAACTAGGCCAACTTAAAGAGTATCCGCTTCTACATTACGCCTCGCATATATCAAGACAATGTTTTGTAATAGCTACAATATAAGGACTGGCAAATCTTAATATAATTTTATTCTTCATTATGTTGGCCCAAAATTCTGTTTTCACCTTTTTCCTATACAGCCTTCATTGAATAAAGAAAAAAAGTAATAAACCAATTTTTCAACTTGGTATTAAAGACTTAAATCAATTTATAACAATCAAATATATTTTCTTTGCACTTTAACATATAATTTAACTTCTCTTGAAGTCACAATTTATCGTTTTGTTCAAGAAAAGTCATTTGGCTAAAGAATCTGGCATTAAAAAATGATTTTTCTCAATTAAAGCAATGGCTGTGACTCAATCAGCTTCCATTAAAGATGCGACACATCAGTTTTCTTTTATTTATATAGCGTACATTTATAAGGGAATAAAGTGCCTGTAAACTTCACTCGAGAAGTTTCCGTATCAAATGGAAGATAGTTTTATTGTCAGTAACCTAATTTTACGACACAGTGCCTTATCGTAAACTACTTGATCGGTATGCGTGAATGCCTATATGATAATATCCCCCCTTCCTCCCCCTCGAATAGATAATCTATCCACTCGGATTTGACTCTGAAATTGAAATATGTCGATCACGCAAATTCCCATTGCATTTACCGTCAAGGATAATTAAAAGATATGGCTGATCGTCGGTAAAGTCGCAATAATAATCGTGTCGGATTTAGTCGATTTAGAAGCATGAAATACCTATTTCGGATTTATATGTTCCTAGCTTATACCAATGTAAAACATTAAAGTATCACAATTCTCATAAAGATGTTTTTTTAGATACAAAAATAATAGTTTTATGTAATTAATACAGAGATTTCTTGCATTGGTCATTTACATTAAACAGACTTATTAACGGTGATACAAAATATTATTTTTGATACTGAGAATGAAAAATGATATCGTTGCAATGAAACGATAAGTTGTATGTATGTACAAACCTGGCGATGATAATTAATCGATGTTTTGCTCCACGGTGTTTTGCTCCACGGTGAGAGAATAACAGCGAAAGCACGGTATAGGTATGTGGCGAAACTACGCGAATGTCGAACCCGGACACAGAGGCCTAGTTTACACCGATCACTTGATACGCGTATTAAATAGTAAATAACTAGTAAATAAGGCTGATTATTGGCTGATCAGTTCAAATATACTATTTGATACGCGTATCAAGAGATCGGTGTAAACTAGGCCAGAGAGACATATCGAAACCGTAGTCGTGATATATTGGCGTATAATAATGAACGCATGCCATGTTCGATGCGTTACACGGGTACAACGAACGACGAAAATTTATGAGAGAATTAGCACTTGAAATAATTTTCATACGTTTTATAACCTAACCTAACACTCGCAATAATTTTCGCGATCACGTACTATTCGCAGGCGCGAGGCACTTTGTGAAACACACTCCATGATTTCCAGCGCGAGAAATCATCTTTAGATTAACAAAAATCGCGAGGAATAGTGGAGCAACTCCGCGACCGGCCATGTATGTATACGTTTCGCGAGTTTTTGCTTGCGACTAGCCGTAGTTTAAAATCTATCGAGGCCTGACGAAGTTTGCGATTATCGATATATCGCAACGCGGTCGAAGCGGCAAGATAATCGCAATAAAAAAACTCAATAATTAATAACATAATATATATCAGTTTTAGGATTTATCATTATTTTAATGTTTTGTAGACATGTATATATCTACGATTTTTTATTTAAAACCTTCCATTATTGTCATTCGTGTTTGATCATTCAAGTGACAACTGTAAAAAAATTTTACGGTAAATAAGTATATTATATATCGTATCGTGAATATACATGGTTATTTATAAAACTTCTATATAATAATAAATCATGACTAATATATTGTGTTACAAACTAATTGTTTTTGAACATTTATGTCGACGGTCGAAAATTTTATATATCAGTAGTCGATAATATTCTTCATTTATCTCTGAAGTCTCTCATTGATATAATCATGAATATTCATCTATCGATAATTTTTCTTAGTATTTTGTTGCTGTTTATATCAAAATGTTATCATTATAATTAATTTTCATATGTGATGACATAGCGACAGCGATTTCAGAAGAAGAAATCTGTCGGCGCTACGGTACGCAGTCGGCAGTTTATTCGGAGTAACGAGGATGATATCTGTCCTTTCACATACTTAGCGGGCGAAGTGTCGTGTGTGTTTGAGGGCTTTTGCACCTCAATTAGACTTTAATCGTACGAATAGCACGGTAAATATCAAGATAAATTATTTTGTTCTTAAGAAAACGACTTGGTTTTGGTATCTAACGATATATCCGGAGATGTTACGCGTGCTTTAGCTTTAAAACGGTGAAACTCTGTTCTAACCTCACTTACCGCGTAATTTTTGCGATAACTTTCGTAATTGTCTTTTAGCAGAATGTATATAAGGGTACATTCTTGCATAATGCGTTATACGAAATTTTATTTTATACACGAATACCCAAAATATGAGTTTAATTCTTTTTTAAATTGATCTCTGAACTAATTAACATGGACTGTTTAAATACTTAATTAATTCGTGCTTCATCAAAGGCATATTAAATTATCCATATTAGTAAATCTATCTCTTATCTAAATTTTATTCTTTTAAGTAACTCTTTTGTTATGACTTATGTCACAGATATCTAAAATATGGAAGAATATGCACGAGAACCATGTCCCTGGCGAATAGTCGACGATTGCGGAGGTGCCTTTACGATGGGGGTCATAGGCGGGGCAATCTTTCAAAGCATCAAAGGCTTCCGTAATGCACCAAGTGGATGGAGGCAGCGTTTTACAGGCAGTGTCGTAGCGATTAGGCAACGAGCACCTATCATCGCTGGAAATTTTGCTGTATGGGGCGGAATGTTTTCCACAATTGATTGCACATTAGTCCACTTTAGAGGAGGAAAGGAAGATCCTTATAACTCTATCATCAGTGGTGCCGCAACTGGTGGAATTCTAGCGGCGAGAAACGGCCTACCAGCGATGGTAGGCAGTGCAATCATTGGCGGAGTGCTCTTGGCGCTGATAGAAGGTGTAGGAATTTGTTTCACACGTCTCTCTGCTGAACAATTCAAACCACCGTCACTGGTTGAAGATCCATCGCAACTTGGCCCATCGCAACAAGGCTATCCATCATAATGTTCAACCAAATCCTTTAGATTTATTTCAAGTTAGAACGAAATGTTCAAGTAACGATGCTTGATAGTGCTTTGCGTCATAGCATCGCTTGAACGTCTCCTTTTGCCAATGTTAAATTTATGCAGCATGGAAGTCTTAGACCTAAGATTGAATAATATTTTAGTTGTTTTCTTACTTATTGTTGTATTCCTTTAAACCCTCTAATTAGAATGCCAAATGCAATATTTTGTAAGGGTATGTCCTGTAAATACATATAAAATATAAGTAACAAGAATAAATGCACAGACAACGGTGTAATATCATAGTGCATTTTATTACAAAATATTTTATAAACTTTACATTCGTATAAAATTTATGAACTTTAAAGATTTAGTTTCTATTTTAATAGCATTAATATAGCGCGATCACAGTAACAAATCTAAATTTCTAGCATTTATTTAGGGCATATTAAATCATAGGTCATCATCTTCAGTTTCTTCTTCGAAATTATTTACGGATGGTGGAACAGATAAATCTAGCTGTTCTGTTAGATTTTTTGGATCATCTGCCGACTCAATTTTCACGCAATTGTTTTTCGTTGATGCATCAGGCAGTATTTCTCGTCCTGAATATTCTGACCCAAGTAGAGTGTTCCTCAAATGTAATCGTTCAACCTACAAAATTAATGCAAGTATTTTTCATGAAATTAAAGCATTTGGCTTGAATATCATCATTGTTTAATATTTAAATTTTTACAGACCTGTAAAGCAAGTATTTGTTTCTCAATCTTGGATAGTATGTCAGTCAGAAATTCCTTTTGGTTCATTAACCGCTCGCGATATTGCGCCATTTCGTGCGGAGAAATTCGTGCTTCCTTACTCATTGTTATAAATGTTTCTGCTGACTTTTCACATTTTATGTATCACGTTGCTAGTCAGCATTGTTTGACACAGTTACATACAAAACTATCCACTTTTTAATCGGAGCGAGCTACAGTCACTACATCTATAGACATGGAGCATGGAGCATGGAGCATTCAGTTATCCAGTATCCACATCCACTCCGAACTCAGAGAGAAGCCTGAGAGTAGTGAGAGTCGAGAGAGGCCATCCCGGCCAATCCCATAGGGCGCGTTCAGCAGACCACCAAGCCGCTGAGTAGCAGTCGAACGTGATTGGGCGCGTTCAGCAGACCAAGCCGCTTAGTAGCAGTCGAACGTGATTGGCTCTTACTTTTAGAACCAACCAATCAACGCACTGTGTTGATAAGACGAACTCAACAGTTGTGTCTGCTGAACGCGGCCATACACTACCGCCAGTACATTCATTTTCGAAATTGGTACTACGTAGCCACGTAGCCATTTTTCGACACTGCCGATAAAACATCATTTTGGTGCGCGTCCGTGCTATCATAACATACGTCCTTGTCCCTGCCTTGTCCCTGCCTACCCGAATCCCTACCTACCTACCTACCTACCTACCTATCCATATCCCTATACCTACCCGTATTGCAATCTATAGTCCTACGTCCTACCTATCCATTTTCCTATCTATTATACCTGCCCGGGTTATGATCTATTATATTTAAGATTTAATTAAGACCGCGACACGATTTATAAAGGATCTAACTTACTGGTTAATCCAGCGGGATATCTGAACGGGACACGATCACTTGGGGATATGAATGGTCGCGTTCAGCAGACCAAGCCACTCAGTAGCAGTCAAACGTGATTGGCTCTTACTTTTAGAACGAACCAATCAAAACAGTGTGTTGATAAGACGAACTCAACAGTTGTGCAACCGTTATTGTGTCTGCTGAACGCGCCCAATGGATGAAATTAAAAGATTAATAACGGGAAATTCATCGATATAAAAACCAACCGCGAAAACCGACCGCGAAAATACGAAGATGCGTAATTATGCATGTTGTTCATGCGGCACGTATCTTGAAAATATATCAAGTAAAATATACAAAATAAATGACGTGAGATCCGAAAAAAATTCCCGCACAATTGATATAATTATTATAATTGGATATTATAATAATAATAGTCTTACGCCGCGATACGTAAAAGTAATCTCGATATTATTCGTTGTTCAAAGTGCGAAAAGTACAGGTGTGGGAGCAGCAAGTAGCGTCCTCGCGACAATTGCTCTTACGAAATTCTCTCCGCTACGTTCGCTTCACTTGTCGCGTCTACCTGCGCGCGGGATGGTGGGAAGTCACGGCGCGGCGTCATGGGTGTCAAGCACGCGCGGATCGTATATGTAGTTTCGTTCGAAGTTTCTCCCACGTAATTCTTCCGTCGCCGTGTAATTAAGGAATATTATCGCGCCGCGTCGCGAGATTAATACTGGGAGTGCCGTGCTTTCAGTGTCGCGCGATCACAAGTGACGATATCGTCGATTTTCGTTCATGAACGTCGTCGTCGTCGCGTCGTTTAGTGAGTGCGACAATGGACCAACGGAGGAGGATCGAGGAGAGGAGGAGGGGGCCTGGGAGGCATCGGGCAACGGCGCGGCGGCGGAGCGACCGTGAGGTGAGTAGTTATTCCTTTATTATTTTTCTGTCCTGTCAGTCCTGTGGCGGATGGCAGATTCAACAATAGACGTACGTAGTATTAATATTTTCTTGCCCTTATATTTGCAATATATACTCCTGCACAAGCTATTTCGCCAAATCACAATCAAAACAAAAGTTATTTTTATATCTGTATAGCTTAAAATGCATTACCTAAATATTTGTATGATAATTTTATTACAGTTACGATAATATTGCTTTTAGACAAAAACGTTATTCAACAAGTTTGTTACAAGTTGTAACGTAACTACATTGTACTTATATAATTCTACTGAAATCAGATCTTTAGCAGAACTTATGGAGTAAAAATGTAAAGTATTATACTCTATAAAGCGACTCTTATTTTTTATACTGTAAGTAGGCGCCATCTAAAGTAGGTCTTGATAACATTCAACACGAGAAGAGAGAGAGAGAGAGAGAGAGAGAGAGAGAGAGAGAGAGAGAGAGGAGAAAGGGTCGGTAATACATTTCATAATAGACAGACGACGGTCTTAAATATAAGATCCATAGAGATATAAGAAATATCGACCATAGTTATTTTTACAACATGTATATTAAAATAATTATGTACAAAGTACAAATTAATAAAATTTTTTGCACTAAATTTGCAGATGGCAATATAAATAATAATATGAAAAATGTGTGTATTTCGAGAAAGCTCCATAAAAATTAAAAAAAAAAATTAATTTTAAAATTTCGAAAAAAATTAATTTTTATGTACATACATATATAATAGAGGGATATAAATAAAAGTAATTTTAGTTTTAGTACAATAATATTTTATTCTTTCTACAGAAGTCTACATGGTATTATAGACTAATGACATTTTATCGTAGTAGGAATGTCTTTATAGGTACGGAGCATTCAAATGGACCACCATGTAACTGACATAAATATATATGATTATGCTAATTTGTATACGTTAAACATGCGAATCTTCAACCCACTTGATAGTTTATTCGCAATCATGTTAGCCATTATTTTCATGAATTTTTGTCGATAAAAAGTTTGAAACCGAAATTTATTAACACTTCGTTCTCTCTGATGGATATTAATCCTAAAATTCAGTATATATGGGGATTTATAGGTGTTGTGATTAATTTTATTGGCCCATTATAGTTTGCGTAGAATATTATATTTACATATAAATACATGCACGTTGTTGGGCGAGAATTAGGTCTACAGTTATTAAATCATCACCGTTAGATAATTACTCGTAAAATTTTGTAATTATCAAGGATATTTCTGTCTACTGTTGTTAAATCATTCGTCAAGATAAATATTACATAGAAATTAGATCAATTTGGCGTTTTAAGATTGACTGTGACTTCAATCCTTAAATAATCAATAGAATAAACAATCATAAATCGTTTCATCATAAAGCTTTCTTTCGAATTAAAAATTAAATTGATGTACTATATGTCTTCTATTATAATTTCAATAGCGATATTTTACATATATTTTGACATTTAAGCTACGAAACATTCGTTTCGTATTCTTTAAGATTATTCATAATTATTTCATATAGTAAGATAAAATTAACTCTTCCAGTATATTGAATGAAAGTATAGATGTCTTAAAATATTTTTTTGTTAGGTATTATTCTTAATTTAGTTTCAAAATAAAGACGTGAGAAACATCTACTTCAGTAATTTAAACATATGTGTATTTGTAATTGCATTATTTAATTGATTATATATAGTATGTCGATGTAAATTTGCAAATTGTTTTTCTTAATAATATATATTTTAAACTGATTCATAAAAGAAGTAAATTATAAAATGGTTTCTTGAAGAAAATCATTAAATAATTTAATTTATTGATTATAAAATACTGGAAGGGTTAAGAAATAAGCGGATGACAAAATTCAATTGCTATCATCTTACTTTTAACATGAAAACGTGACGTGTTGACAGTTTAATATTATATAATTTCATTCATTTTGCATAACTGAATTAGAAACTTATTTACAATTGTACAGTGAATTAAAATTTCATATAGTCCAGAAGGCATCATAGAAAATTAAACGTTAAGCACGTTGTCGATGAAATAGACGTTTGAGAACAGTTTAAATTTAGAATGTAATCGTTATATTTATTAATGTAAATAGGGTAATACTCCGAAAAAGTTTTCTATAAAGAAATTAACTAGAAATATATAAATTCGCGCCATTATCAGCATTTACATTTACCTATAAATGTCGCTATATTAACTGAGATACATGGTAACCTTGAAAAGAATGTGTGGATTGTGAAAAAATAAAATTTAAACTTATACAATTTTACAAGGCGCTTTGGAAACTAATTGTAAGATAAATATATATATATATACGCGAAATAAATAATACGCAAAATTAATGTACAATCTGTCTTTAATGTACTAATTAAAAATAGTGAAAGTCAGGACGAAAAGACGATTCGGAATGCAACATTATAACATGAAACTGTATTAATATCTCTTTTGTGGCCGTAATTTTCCTTTGCCACTTCTGAATCCGGATGATTCGTACAATATAAACGGAATTAGAGCACAATCAATGTCATATTCTATAATTTAGAAACGGGAAGATAGATATGTCCCGTATATTCATATATCACATACCTCTACTTTCAGGATACAGAATGACATTACTTGTCTTAACTCCTTCATATTACATTTTTATGATACAGCCTGAAATAGTGAATTGAAAAGTGACTTGTGGCTGCAGTAATTCTCATGATTCTTATTAAACTTCTGGCTCCGATAAATCACCGAGCTCTAACAGTTCGTCGAATCATAGACCGTAGTGCCGTTCGTTACTGCAGCAAAAGTCGCGTCAATCCTTGGAAGATGGGGGTGATTCCCTACTGTTGTCGCTGGGGAAGCTGGTCAAGCCGAGACCGCCGATTTCGTGGCTGGACGAGCCCGTCGGGGAATTGCTGCTGCTCCTGGCACCGCTCAGAGGCGTCACGTTCGTGCTATCCGCCGGTATTAGGCCCTCCTTCATACGCTTCTTCTGCTTCATCCGCCTGTTCTGGAACCAGATCTTCACCTGCGTTTCGTTAAGCTGCAGCGCGGTAGCGATCTCGATGCGCCTCGCTCTCGTCAGGTACTTGTTGAAGTGAAACTCCTTCTCCAGTTCGGTGAGCTGTTTATTCGTGAAATTCGTGCGGCCTGTATTGTTGAAGCTGCCAGCGATACCGGCCAATGAACCGGCGATGCAGCTCACTGTTCCGCTGGCGGTGCTTCCGTACACGGACGAGCTTGATCCTGCGGCTGCGCTGCCACCGAACTCGATTACATTAGGATTTGATTTCGTCGCTGAAACAAATTCGTTGATTTTGCTTTAAATAGAATGTCTATGCTAAGTAATTATAATTATATAAGTATCATAGATGTTAGTAAACTGGTTGGCTAAGTTTTGCTGACATGTTCTTCAGTCGATTTATAATCAATTTTTTCTTAGCAAGAATTAAACGATTGAAAATTAAATATTTTATACATATATGTTTTATAATTTTAAACAAGTTTCAGTAATGTTAATAGATAATGTTCTTGTTTTCGTTTAATTTCAATTATATTCTATCACAGTGTAATCTAAAGTTTAGCTGCTGAAATATCCATGAAAAGATTTTTGTCAGTCAAATATCTGCTTCAAGAAGAAACTTGAACAATTTTTGGTAACTAACATATGTAAGATATAGAATTTTTAGTCAGGCGATTTATAATATTATAAGTTTGGAATACGCGACGCGAATAAACGCAATATTCTCATTGAACGAAAACGATCGTTCTATTTCTAATTCAGATGTAACTTTCTAATATAATAGAATACGTAACAGACGCGGGCGCAATATGTGTCGAATCAAGATCAAGTCAAATCCTTTAAGTGACAGTCGTTTGCTGGCCATAACAGCTGGTCACTATCCGGGGAGCAGTTTTAGGGAGATGACCTGTGCAAAGCTGAGAGAACGGTAGGGTTGAGCCCTAAATCTGGATCAAATTGCATCAGCTGTAGAACAAACATCCGTTACGTCGTTACGTGAAATTTTTGATTTTTCTGCTCTACCGATGTTCCAGGGATGATTAGTAATATTCAATCGGTTATTATCTTATAACGTCTTATAAGACAAATTTTTGGTTTGAAAGATAATGCAATTAAAATATTGAGGGGCAAAAGTGACGCGCTTCGACAGAAGGATGAGGATACATTATGAAAATTAGATTGTTATTTAGACTACGGTATGTAGCAGTCAATTTACTTAATGGCAGGGGGTGGACAAAACTGTCAAGCCACCGCCTTAAAGTCACGTCTTCCCTATTATGTACATTTTCCTTCAGTATCTTCAGCTTGGCCCTTCGATATTTTTATAATACATTTTTGTTTGATCTACTCTGGGAAGTTATAATATCCTAATGTTCTTCTTTATGCCTCTAAAAAATCATGCATCGTATATACAAAATATTTATATCCATTAAATGACCTTTGCAAATTTTCTAATATAATCGAAAAGATCAGTCACTTATACTGAGGTCCTGAATTTAGCTTGCGGCCATTAAGCTTACGCTTTTCCAAGCCGAATAATAAACTTGGACAAGTTCTATTAGGCGTGCCAGTGCCAGATACAATAAAATGTTCCTCGTTTCTGCGACTCATTCATCAATTTAGCACTTTAACGGAGGACCGACTACGGTGCAGTTGATTTTCTATACGAATCTTCTTTGGCAACAACGAAGGTGTTGCGTATCCGTACAACGTAGAAGAAGAATCTTTAAATTTTGATAAATTATAATCAATATATGCATGCAGAAAAGTAGATATAAATGAATAAGTAGATATAATAAAATTCGGTAAATAGAAAAAGGATTCGATGTAGATTTATATACTTTCAAAATAAATACGATATGCAAATGGAGATTGAATCTCCGTTACTAATACAAAGTATTATCGACAAGTTACGCTCGTGCATGTTACGCAGAAATTATATCGCGAGCACGCATCGAATATTCTTACGTCAGCGGCCTCCTTTACCCTAAGTTCAACGCTATATTGCATGTAGAAATTAATAGTCGCAATTTTTAATGCTGAGAAGCTTCGTGAATAAATTTGCTTCGTAATATAATATTGATAAAATGGGGAAGAGAAAAGGGTTGATACACAGGGAGTTTTTAATAACTGAGAGATATTGACCTTTAATTATCTTCCATAAGACATGTAGGTGCACTCTCAGAGCCACGTTTTATAACACTTTATATTGTTACTGCCGAATCTTTTGCAATCACGCGAGGGGCTGAATCGTGCAGTTACGGTGCGAATCGTCAAATAGATTTTTCAAGTAAAAGAATTTTTATTACGTAAATTATTTAATATTAGACGCAATTTAAACACACACTATGTGGCGAAACGGAGTTTTATGATTACAGCTGTAAAATGTCCTTTTGATAAGCCGTAAAAACATCGTTGTCTTTTAAACTGCGGATGACTGAATTATCACGAGACACGATGCACGTATTTATTTAGGAACTTAGGTGGGTGGCGTTGATGCGGATAATCCAGACATTATGTACAAATCAAATACAGCTGGATCCTGAATATTGGTACAACAGTCGTCTCTAAAAAAAAGTCACTACGAGCTTCGATTATAAAAATGGCTTGTAGACAGTTATTTGCATTTCACAGTTATTTTTGTTTCAGATACGCGTTTTATCCTAAATCCAGAAAATTCTGTGAATTGGGAAAAGCACCAGTGCGCCCGTATCTCTGTCCTCTCTGTAATATAATACACAAGCATCTTGTACTCTCCTGTGTTTACCATCACCTTTCCTTACGTCATGCCATCCCCACGGCTTTTAGCCTTTGAATAATATTTGAATTGCGTAATGTTCCTTGAAGGGAGAGACTATCGACGCATAAGAGCACGCATAAGTGCAGATGATCCCGCACGATCAAGGGATCGACTTCCCATAAGTAGCTGTCATTTTTTTTAAAACGTAAATCCAAAAACTCATGTATGATATCCTCGTATATGATGTGTTAAAATCATACTACTCGCCAAAGTTGTAATTCATGACGTCTCGATAATTAAAGAAACGCAATTAAATTTTCCAAGCCACCTGACCCGCCCAAAATTTTTCTCAGAGATAATATATCTAGCCGCAAGTTTATCGCAAGAACTGACAAAACGATTTCGTCGGCACAGTTCCTTTCATTCGCAACCCCCTGTCAGTCATTGTCATGCCCCGTCGGCCGCGTTGATTTCAGCATTATGATAGGTAATATCCTGAGTCACAGTCGCGTACGAAAAAGCAATGTTGTGTATCATAACGGCGCGGCGTACGTGTGGAAGGGCTGCGTGCAGCACGTTCGACATTCACACTCCGGGTTCCCCTGCGTTTACGTTCGTGTGTGTGTGTGTGTGCGTGTGTGCGTGCGTGCGTTCATGAGTATGCCCGAAGCATTTCCCGGTGAAATTAGGCTCAGCACGACACCTCGTGGGGGTCTTTGATAAGTTTCGCGCGCTTTCTTTGCAATAACCCACCCCGAGCTGTAGCACAGGTGCCGGTTGTTTTGGGGGTGAAGAGTTTCCTCATGGAGTTCTTCATTTAAATCGCGATTTTGATTCAATAAGTTTTAAAATCTTGTCATCATCCGCTCTATCTCTATTCATCTGTATAAATTAATCGCAAAACTTGATCGTTTTATCTTTTATTTAAACCTTCCTAAAATCAGAAGCTAAGTATATTGTTAATCTTTATGGGGATAACAGTATTATTAAGCCCAACCGAAAATCGTTAACAGCTCAACGTATGAAGAAGAGTATTAATCGAGTTCGTAATAGTAGCCTGCTTGCGGTTAAAAGTAACGTGTAAATACCGTCTACGGCAATTGAGCCGCGTGAAGGAAGATTACACAGCGAGCCGTCGACGGTGCGGCGCGGAAATGAAAATCACCGTGAGGCGAGACACGTGGACAGCGTCGGCGGCGGTTGTCGGAGTCCGGCCGAGCGGATCTGTCGGGCCGCGATCGGACAGGAATAAGCAGTGGTAGCCAGCGCTGCCGGCGCGTTGAAGGGGTGGCAGGGGGCAGGGGGGGAAACAGGGGGGACAGGGTCGGCCAGAGGAGGGTCAGTTGCGCTCTGCCAGGGTTGTGTTGCGGGATCCGGGGTTGCCGGGTTCGGCGGGTGGCAGCCCGGGTGGAAACACGCGAACGATCCTCTGATCCCCTCGCGAGATATCGGGCCACTCACTCACGCGTCCGCCGGCGACCCTTGCGGAGCGGCGCGCAACATGCCCAGCCAGTTGTTCGACTCTACCCACAATCTCTGCCCTCTCTCTTTCTCTCTTTCTTTGCTTTTCTCCCTCTTTCTCTTTCTTGCTCGACTTTCCTTCCTTTTTTTTCCTTCAATCATGCCCTCCTTCGAGTTTATCTCGCTTCCTTTCCCGTTTATCCAATGCGTCTCTCTATCTTCAGCCGCAGCTTTCTTCGTGCTCTTTTTCGGTTTCTTCGTATCCTTGTTCCTCTGTTCGTCGTCTTTCCTTCACTTTCTCCTTCTATCGTACGTTTTATTCCCTTCGCTATCGTCTTCTCGGTCTCTCCCAAGTTCAGGGCTGGCGTGCACGCCCGGCGACGCCCCGTTTTGTGGTTTAAGTCCCGCGGGATAACTTGATCAGAGAGATTTTCTGGAGATTTTCTTTATATTTTGTATAAGCGCACTTATTGCGTCTGCTAGGATAATCCGGACCTTGCTGGTCAGCGAATTATTGCGTTCGTGCGAGCGTAGTCACGAAGCATTTTTGTTTATCAATCGATAAGGCGGTACGTATATAGTACCTTGTTTATGCACAAGTAATATGTTCGTAAGGGAATCTCTCGTGACTGTAAAAATCTAACGTATATGAGACGTATATAAACAATATCTATGGTTTCCATGAAACTTAGTACCATAATATTTATAAGAATTCGATAAACTGTTACATGGAGTAACGTGTTGTGCTCGTATAAACGAACATGTCTCCATCATTTTGCTTTAATTAAAACGTAATATGTTATACGTTGCAATTTTTTTCTATATTTATTTTTTATGCATTACATAATCACGTATGTGTTTGATTACATCTAAGCGCATGAAGAGAACGTAAGGAAGTCGACAAGCTGATGGTGAGTTTTAGCCTCGCCGTAATGCCGCCCCTGTATATATTCGGTCAGGGCGTCGATAGCGACATGCATATTTTAAGTCAGCCTAAAAGGTGATAGTCTTCGAGGAAGCAGGGTAGCACCGAAAGTGGGAAGTAATCCATGAAGTGTGTTCCCGATAAATATTATTTATTTTGTATTTGCTATGAGCAAAGATATGCCTCTTCTTTATTTCGTCACTTTTTGCTGGCAGGAATATAAGAAAAATATTATTTATTTTTTAAATTTTAATTTTAAATAAAATGTTAAATTTAATATAAACTTTATACGAGCACAACAATAGTTTATTATCTAGTACAGATATGATTTTAATTTTAGCCAACGACAATTGAGTTTTAACGATTCTTTGCTGCAAAATTTTGAACGAACTACAATATTTAGTATTAAATTTATTTAAAATCTAATGCTATTGTTGGAGTAGTTTCATTTAATCTATACGAGATGCAAGATATGTTATAAAACACGTTTGAAAACACAGCTTATGTAACTATATCAACTTTATAATCGACAGGAGTAATTGCTGTGCTTACTGAGATTGAATGACAGTTATAAGAACTGCTGGTCACAATCATTAAAAGTTGACACTGTCTGACGACAGAAAAACATAACAAAGATAAAAACATTTCTATCTTTTATTGACAATATATGATATAGAAGATCATATTGTAATATTAAATATTACAAATATCACGATACTTGTGATTTTCTGTATTGGCTAAGGCATTACAACATATTGATAAGCCGAGGTTTTTGAATGAAATTCTCCATTTCTTACCATGACAAAGATATGGAATTATTACTGCTATGTTACGAGGGGACGTTGGTTTGTCTCGTTTTTCTCCGCGCGGTATTGCCAATCCCGCTATTGAGTATAGAGAGAAGAAATCGAGTTTAGTATGATAGATTGGGCGGGTTGACAGCATCACGACGGTCTTTCCGTCTCTCCTGTCTCGCTCCAATCTTGACTAAGGGTGGTCCGCACCGGGCGCGTCCCCATAGAGACCTTCTATTCTGGACCCTCTGAAGCATGTTATGGAAGCAGGGAGGGAAAAGGAGCGCTATTGTAAGTCCTCGGCCAACCAAAAAAGTTAACCAACCAAAATCTAGCGAAATCGCCCCACTGCTCTGCTCCGCCCATCTCGTTACTTCTTTCGAATTTTTTCGTCGTAACGTATTCGTTGCGTACTATGTCTTTTCAGTTCTCACCCAGCTCTAAATGTAACTGCGTTAAATTAATTGTATCTCATTTAAAAATTTCCATTTTTCCTAGTGATACTGAACGATTATTATTATACATATGTTTGATATACAATCTTATATATTTTATTGTTTATTTAAATACAAGTTCTATTATCTATCTTCTAAGTATCTTCACAACATAATATTTTGTATTGATATTATATTATTTATTATATTATACTATATTATAGGCAGTTATTATGAAAGAGTTTACAGAATATATTCTAAAAACTTTCAATTACACAAAATAATATAACTACTGTAAATATTATATTTATGACAATACCGTGATAAGAGATTTGTCGAAGAAAATTGACTTGTACAGTGTATTAAAAACATCAAGATGTAACAGCAGGAGTAAAAACGAGAGGGGTTAAACGAGGGTGACAAAGTTTCATTTCGGTTTGCATGCTTTGCTGCAATAAACGTCAGTCCCTTTAGCGCCTGCGATGGCGTTATTAATTCGATTATAATGAGCTATTAAGTGAAACGCTGGTAATTCCGACAAGCTCCATCCAACGACTAAGCTCACACTCACTCTCTGAGTTAGGAGATTGCGGGGAGCACCATGGCCGTTAAGCAAATTAGTGTGAAGTTAGGGGAACTGTTCCGGCCTTTTTAGGCATTATTTTCAATGAGCCACGCTACGTCACTTTCATGGTCATCAATTCGACGTTAACACAATACGTAGACATTTTTATGGTACGAGAGTTCGTTTGCTAAGACATTAATTATAAAAGTCATGATACGCACATATGCATGTATGCTATATATTATTATTTTTTTAATTAAGATGTCAAACTTCTCGTGAGCACATTTATTGATTAATTTTGAATTGATTTATATTTGTAACGAAATTATTCACACATCAATTTTTTGTAAATTATCTTATTTAAGTAATGGATGATAGAGCTAAATATATTAATTAAATTATCGTGATTCTATGCAATAGTGCTTACTAAAAAATAGATGATAAAAATACTCACATATTGCAATAAACAAGGAAATATGAATAAGTATATTTTCCTCATGATTAATACGTGGAAGTTTTATTTCAATACACATACACATATACTTATTTAGTAAATTTATTATCTTATCATTATTAAGAATTAATCTGATAAATTCGAGTATATAAGACAGTTTTATTTAATCACACATCTTATCATAAGATTAACAGATTAAGAATCTGTTAATGCTCTGCTTACTATTGTACAATATAAATGCAATTGTCTCATATATATATATATATATATATATATATATATATATATATATATATATA